CCTCCCCACAGCATGTCAGTGCAACCGTCAAGGTTCACTGAGTTCTGAGTGCAACCCTCATGGCGGTCAGTGCCTGTGCAAGCCTGGAGTGGTTGGGCGCCGCTGTGACCTCTGTGCCCCTGGCTACTATGGCTTTGGCCCCACAGGCTGTCAAGGTACTCTCCTGCCTCTTGTTCCCTCCTATGCGTCTCTCTCCTTCCCATTACTGTTCTCTTTCCTCTTCTGGACCTGCTGCTTCTTTCCTCAAACTAAGTCTTGGACCCTCTACTCTCAACCTGGGTCAGTTGCAGTTCTCTTCCATTTCCTGACCTTCCCACCTAGACTCCCGCTACCCACATTCCCCTGAGACCCTCCCCAACCCACACTCCCCTCCGACCCCGTCCCCTGGCTCTGTCTCTGCCTTGCTCCTAGCCTGCCAGTGCAGCCCCGAGGGGGCGCTCAGCAGTCTCTGTGAAAAGACCAGTGGGCAATGTCCCTGTCGAACTGGTACCTTTGGGCTTCACTGTGACCGCTGCCAGCGTGGCCAGTGGGGATTCCCTAGCTGCCGGCCATGTGTCTGCAATGGGCATGCAGATGAGTGCGACACCCACACAGGCGCTTGCCTGGGCTGCCGTGATCACACAGGGGGTGAGCACTGTGAAAGGTGAGCCTGGAGTAGCTATGAGTGGGTTGGTTGGTGAACAGGCTTCCCATGGATGACACATTTCTTCTTCCTCCTCCCTGCAGGTGCATTGCTGGTTTCCACGGGGACCCACAACTGCCATATGGGGGCCAGTGCCGGCCCTGTCCATGTCCTGAAGGCCCTGGGAGCCAACGGCACTTTGCTACTTCTTGCCACCGGGATGAATATTCCCAGAAGATTGTGTGCCACTGCCGGGCAGGCTACACGGGTAAGTGGATAGGGGGCAGGCGTAGGATCAGGGTGAGTTGGCTGGACCGAGCAATCACAGCTTCCTCTTGACTGTGGGCAGGGCTGCGATGTGAAGCTTGTGCCCCTGGGCACTTTGGGGACCCATCAAGGCCAGGTGGCCGGTGCCAACTGTGTGAGTGCAGTGGGAACATTGACCTAATGGATCCTGATGCCTGTGACCCCCACACGGGGCAATGCCTGCGCTGTTTACACCACACAGAGGGTCCACACTGTGCCCACTGCAAGCCTGGCTTCCACGGGCAGGCTGCCCGACAGAGCTGTCACCGTGAGTATGAGTGTGGGAGGGCATGGCTGAGTTGGGGTTCTGCTTCTTGGCCTCCTCTTGACTACTGTGCTCGTCTTGGTTGGCACAGGCTGCACCTGCAACCTGCTGGGCACAAATCCCCAGCAGTGCCCGTCTCCTGACCAGTGCCACTGTGATCGAAGCAGTGGGCAGTGCCCATGCCTCCCCAATGTCCAGGGCCCTAGTTGTGACCACTGTGCCCCCAACTTCTGGAACTTCACCAGTGGCCATGGTTGCCATCCTTGTGCCTGCCACCCAAGACAGGCCAGAGGCCCCACCTGCAATGAGGTATGGGACCCTCCTGCAGATCCCTGGTTAGATGGGGTCAGGTGTCTTTCTTGTCTCGTGGGCTCAGCCTCTGATAGAGGCTCTGACCCTGCCTTGTTCCCACCCCAGTTCACAGGGCAGTGCTACTGCCGTGCCGGCTTTGGAGGGCGGACTTGTTCTGAGTGCCAAGAGCTCCACTGGGGAGACGCTGGGTTGCAGTGTCGTGGTGAGGGAGCCAGCAGGGCCAGGGTGGATGGAGGGCTTCCCAGAATGCCCCACAGTGGCCCTAACTCTGTCCTCTGCTCTTTCTTGCAGCCTGTGACTGTGACCCTCGTGGAACAGATACACCTCAGTGTCACCGCTCCACAGGTCACTGCAGCTGCCGCCCAGGCGTGTCTGGTGTGCGCTGTGACCAGTGTGCCCGTGGCTTCTCAGGATTCTTTCCTGCCTGCCATCCCTGCCATGCATGCTTCGGGGATTGGGACCGAGTGGTGCAGGACTTGGCTGCCCGCACACGGCGCCTAGAGCAGCGGGCACAGGAGTTGCAGCAGACGGGTGTGCTGGGTGCCTTTGAGAGCAGCTTCTGGCATATGCAGGAGAAGCTGGGCATTGTGCAGGGCATCGTAGGTGCCCGCAACACCTCAGCCGCCTCCACTGCACAGCTTGTGGAGGCCACAGAGGAGCTGCGGTGCGGAAGGACCTAAGAATACATGGTGGGATGGGGCAGAGGCCCAGTGGACCAGGGCTGAAGCCTGTCTAAACAGCCCCCTCTCCATCATCGCAGGCGTGAAATTGGGGAGGCCACTGAGCACCTGACTCAACTGGAAGCAGAGTTGACAGATGTGCAGGATGAGAACTTCAATGCCAACCATGCACTAAGTGGTCTGGAGCGAGACAGGCTTGCACTTAATCTCACACTGCGGCAGCTGGACCAGCATCTTGACTTGCTCAAACATTCAAACTTCCTGGGTGAGTTGTTAGCCAACTAGGCAGGTGGACTAGGATCAGTCTTCAGCTGACTGTCTGCCTTTGCCCAATTTAGGTGCCTATGACAGCATCCGGCATGCCCATAGCCAGTCTGCAGAGGCAGAACGTTGTGCCAACACCTCGGCCCTGGCAGTACCTAGCCCTGTGAGCAACTCGGCAAGTGCTCGGCATCGGACAGAGGCACTGATGGATGCCCAGAATGAGGACTTCAACAGCAAACACATGGCCAACCAGCGGGCCCTGCGCAAGCTCTCTGCCCATACCCACACCCTGAGCCTGACAGGCATAAACGAGCTGGTGAGGTACAAGTGTTGGGTGGGACAGGTGGGTGTAGATGTTCCTCCCACAGGGCCCTGACTTGTTCTGTGCCTGGCAGGTGTGTGGGGCACCAGGGGATGCACCCTGTGCTACAAGCCCTTGTGGGGGTGCCGGCTGTCGAGATGAGGATGGGCAGCCGCGCTGTGGGGGCCTCAACTGCAATGGGGCAGTGGCTACAGCAGACCTAGCACTGGGCCGGGCCCGGCACACACAGGCAGAGCTGCAGCGGGCACTGGCAGAAGGTGGTAGCATCCTCAGCAGAGTGGCTGAGACTCGTCGGCAGGCAAGCGAGGCACAGCAGCGGGCCCAGGCAGCCCTGGACAAGGCTAATGCTTCCAGGGGACAGGTGGAACAGGCCAACCAGGAACTTCGAGAACTTGTCCAGAGTGTGAAGGACTTCCTCAACCGTGAGCCTCCCATGTGTCCCAGGCCATGTGGTTGTTCCTTTGGCAACTCCCTGTGTCTGTATCTCCCTTGGTTCATACTTGAGCCTTAGGGCCTACACTGGATTAGTGTTTATGATCCCTTGACTGGCTCCTGAGTCCTTGCCCATATGTGGTCCCAGGTCCATGTTCTTGAATCTGAGCCCCTTGTATAGTCCCTGTCCTTGTGATTACATCCTTATGGCTGGTAACAAACCCCTATCCCATGTACATGTCCTGAGTCCACACCCCAAAGCTATATCCTCATGCCCATGCTGGAGAATCTATGTTCTTAAGCTCTTGCTGTGTCCCTATAGAGGAAGGGGCTGATCCTGATAGCATTGAGATGGTGGCCACACGGGTGCTAGAGCTCTCCATCCCAGCTTCAGCTGAGCAGATCCAGCACCTGGCGGGCGCAATTGCAGAGCGAGTCCGGAGCCTGGCGGATGTGGACGCGATCCTGGCACGTACTGTAGGAGATGTGCGTCGTGCCGAGCAGTTATTGCAGGATGCACGGCGGGCAAGGTCTGACCCCATCCCTGGCCCCTGACACCTGGTTTTGATACCTCCAGGTTCTGATTCCCCCTTTTCCCCAGGAGCCGGGCTGAGGGTGAGAAACAGAAGGCGGAGACAGTACAGGCAGCACTGGAGGAGGCCCAGCGGGCACAGGGTGTTGCCCAGGGTGCCATCCGGGGGGCAGTGGCTGACACACGGGACACAGAGCAGACCCTATACCAGGTGAGGTCTTCCTAGGACATCAGTGGGATAAGGTTATGGGCATGCACCGTAGATCTGTGTAACCTTTGGCTCACCCATGGCAGGTACAGGAGAGGATGACAGGTGCAGAGCAGGCACTGAGATCTGCAGGTGAAAGGGCTCGGCAGTTGGATGCTCTCCTGGAGGCTCTGAAGTTGAAATGGGCGGGAAATAGTCTGGCAGCCTCTACAGCAGAAGAAACGGCAGGCAGTGCCCAGGGTCGTGCCCAGGAGGCTGAGCAGGTGGGTTGAGGCAGAGCCAGCTAGAGAAGGTAGGGGTGGAAGATGGGCCTCCACTGAGCTACCACTCTAACCTAACCCTCTACATCTGCAGCTGCTACGGGGTCCTCTGGGTGATCAGTACCAGACGGTGAAGGCCCTGGCTGAGCGCAAGGCCCAGGGTGTGCTAGCTGCACAGGGAAGGGCAGAGCAACTGCGGGATGAGGCTCGGGACCTGTTGCAGGCTGCTCAGGACAAGCTGCAGCGGCTACAGGGTGAGAAATGGGGCAGGTGGGCACCAGAGACACAGGACTGCAGGAGACCCCTCTAAACTGACACCTGCCCTTCCTAGAACTGGAAGGCACCTATGAGGAGAATGAGCGGGCACTGGAGGGTAAGGCAGCCCAGCTGGACGGGCTGGAGGCCAGGATGCGCAGCGTGCTTCAAGCCATCAACTTGCAGGTGCAGATCTACAACACCTGCCAGTGACCCCTGCCTAAGGCCTACCCCAGTTCCTGGCACCGCCCCACATGCATATCTGCCTATGCACTGAAGAGCTCTTGGCCCGGCAGGGCCCCCAATAAACCAGTGTGAACCCCCACTGTGTTGTCTGGACTCTGATTTGGGGCGGGTGGGGGAGTCTCCAGGGGAACCTCGAGGTTGCCCCTAGCAGGGCCCATGCAAGGCTAACCCATCCGAGCACCGCCCCCTTCCGCTCGGGCCCGCCCCGGAGCTGCCTGCCAGTCTTCCCGAGCCCATTCCCGCCGGAAGTGCGTCAGCAGCTTGGCGCTCCGCCTCCCGCGGCCTTAACTAGAAGTCGAAACAAAACAAGCCGCTAAGGCGGTGGCGGCGGCGCCGGGACGGGGGAGGGGCGCGCCGGAACCGGAACCGACCTGACGCCGGAACCGGAACGGAGAGCGGGTTGCCAGGGCCCGAAGAGGGCTGGCTGCGGCGGTCTCGCTCGGTGAGTGGAGCGGGCTGCAACTCGCCTGCTTGGCCGCAGCGGGGAGGCCGCAACGCACTGCCGCGGCGGCCTGTTCAAGGTCACGGGCCGTGCCAGCCCCTACCCCTAGTGTCCCGCAGCGTGCCAGCCCACTGATGCCGGCGGGGCCGTTACGCTATGCCTGTGGCCAGCCTCCCACCTGGGAGAGGACTGGCGGCCAGCGAGGGCAGCTTCCTGGAAGAGGTGGTGGCGGGCTCGGGGTTCAGAGGCTGAAGCTGGGTTGCAACTTGACCGGGGCGCTGGTCTGTGGTCAGTAACCCCGCGCTGCCATTTCAGGCCGGCTCGGGTCTCTAGACAGCCCCTTTCCCGCCTCGACGTCTCCGGGGCATGGGGGAGGGACGCGACCTTCGGCTGGGGCCTGGGTGAGAGAAGGAGGCGTCGGTAGCAGGTGTCATTAAAGATCCAGTCCACCAGTACCACATCTGACCTGTAGAAAGGTATCCTACCATCCCTCCTTCCTCCTTTACACACTTAGGAGAACACAGACTAGTCATTATCTGTCCTGCTACTGGTTCAGGCCAGGCTTGAGGCTGCCAGGGGTCCTGGATCCATGGTCCTCCCCAGCCTCATCTCAGTATCTAGCTTCAAGACCTTCATTTCGGAGGGGGAAACAGTCCGGAATCTACCGGTGGGTCTGTGGGAAATTGTAGTGGTCCCTGTGTCTCAGAGCTCATGAGTGAAGGCATCTGGGAAGGAAGGTGATGATTTCTGTTCCAGTGTCAAACTGGATTCCAATCCTGCCTTAGTACTGGAGCAGGGTTGTTGCTGAAAGGTAGTGTGACATCTAGATACACTTTTCAGTCCCTCTCTGCTTGGGACAGCAGCTGGGGAGAGGACTTTCTCTTAAAATGAAGAAGAACCAAGCAGTACATAGGAGCAGGTTCTTGCTAAGGGTGGGAGCTGGCAGGAGGCAGGTGGAGTGCCTTAGCCCCAGGATTTTTTCTGGGCAATGGCAGAACCTGGGTTGAGCCTGTTTTCAGCCACAGAGCCTGGTCCTCTTGTGGCTTGTCTCCTTTCCTGCCTTCCTCCTCCACCTTCTATTTCTCCAGTGGTGACTAACCAGCCAGTGAGAGTGAAGGAAAAGTGAACACCCTGCTCGGAGTGCCAGCCTTGTGGGCTGGAGCCATGGCTCCTTTCCAGATTGGTGGAGTAGCCTGGTCCCAGGCCATGACTTCCCTTGACCTGGTGCCCCCTCAGTGAGGCTTCCAGCTGTGTGGGACTATTATGGTGGGTATCTATGAAGCTTGGCCAGAAGTGGTTGCTGCTACTTGCATTATTTATTACCTCTTCAAAATAGCCTGAGAGTGTCCAGGGATGATTCAGAGATGAGAAGATACAGCTCTGTAGCATTAGGAGTGTCCTGGGTTGCTGAGCCCTGGCTGTAGCTAAAGAGCAAGTTGTTGGGTCTTGGCAGTGATCACTGGCTCTTTTCCATTAGGCTGTTGGTTCCTTGCTGGAGAATTTGGCCACAAAGAGTTGCCAAGATAGCTGGGCCAGGAAGAAAGCGCCGCAGCCCTGACCCAGACGCTGTTGCGGGCCCCGGGGCACTCTGGCTGTCGACCAAGCGGCTCAAGATGTCTGGCGGGGCCAGTGCCACAGGCCCAAGGAGAGGGCCCCCAGGACTGGAGGACGCAACTAGTAAGAAGAGGCAGAAGGATCGAGCAAACCAGGAGAGCAAGGATGGAGATCCTAGGAAAGGTGGGAGTGGCATTCCCAGAGTGCTTGTGGCTTTCTTTCCGTCCCATTTTATTAAGTATACAGATTGGGGTTTGGGAGATGACTTTTTTGCTCTTCTCTCTGTCCTGGTCTGATGATGAGAGAAGAAGGACCCATGATAGGCTCAGCAGAGCCTCAGCTTTGAAGCCTGAATACTTGGCTAAGATCCAGAAGATGGTGCTGTTGGGGGGCTTGCCTTCTTTCTTTTTTAAATTTTTTTTCTTTCTTTTTAACCTGTTCTTTCTTTATTTCCTGTTTTTTTTCTGAGATGGAGTCTTATTCTATTGCCCAGGCTGGAGTGCAGTGGTGTAATATCGGCTTACTGCAACCTCCACCTCCTGGTTCAAGTGATTCTCCTGCCTCAGCCTCCCAAGTAGCTGGGATTACAGGTGCATGCCACCATGCATGGTTTTTTTTTTTTTTTTTTGAGATGGAGTCTCACTCTGTCATCCAGGCTAGAGTGCAGTGGCGTGGTCTTGGCTCACTGTGGGCTCCGCCTCCCGGGTTCGAGCGACTCTCCTGCCTCAGCCTCCCAAGTAGCTGGGATTACAGGCACACACCACCACGCCCAGCTAATTTTTGTATTTTTAGTAGAGACGGGGTTTCACCGTGTTTGCCAGACTGGTCACAAACTCCTGACCTCAGGTGATCTGCCCACCTCGGCCTCTCAAAGTGCTGGGATTACAGGCATGAGCAACTGTGCCTGGCCCCCTCCTTTTTTTTAAAAAAGAGGCAGGGTCTCACTCTTGCACAGACTGGAGTGCAGTGCAGGTGTGATCGTAGCTTACTGCATCCTCAAAGTCCTGGACTCAAGTAATCCTCCTATGTCAGCCTCCCTACCATGCTTGGCTAATTTTTCTTATTTTTTTTTTAGAGACAGGGTCTCGATATGTTGCCCAGGCTGGTGTTGAACTTCTGGCCTCAGGTGATCCTTCTGCCTCAGCCTCCTGCGCAGCTGGGATCACAGGCTCATGCCACCATTCCCGGCTGTTCTTTCCTTCATTGTCAGGGTCAGCATCCACTCCTCGGGAGGAGCAGACCAAAGAGGGTCAGTTATGAATGAGCTTTTTGGGTGCTAGGGAAGGGGAGGGATCACTTACAATTTGGCTCCCATCTGAAGCAGTTTCATTAGGGCTGGGTCTCTGTTACCTGCTTATCACCATCAGGAGCTTGTGAAGACCCTCATGATCTCTTGGCTACTCCCCCTCCAGAGTTGTTGCTCGATTGGAGGCAGAGTGCAGAAGAGGTGATTGTCAAGCTTCATGTGGGAGTAGGTCCCTTGCAGCTGGAGGATGTAGATGCTGCTTTCACAGATACGGACTGTGTGGTGCGGTTTGCAGGTGTGTCCATCTGCCCTGAGCACAATAGTATGTTTGAATCTTTTGATATCTCCTATCCTACCTCATGGACCCTGCTCTGTCTCCAGGTGGTCAGCAGTGGGGTGGTGTCTTCTATGCTGAGATAAAAAGCTCTTGTGCTAAAGTGCAAACCCGCAAGGGCAGTCTCCTGCACCTGACACTGCCCAAAAAGGTGCCTATGCTCACGTGGCCCTCCCTCCTGGTGAGTTCTAGTAGTACAGGGTTGGGTAGGGATAGCCAGTGTAGTCGACAGGGCCTGACTGCTGTATCTTTGGCAGAAGAAACCTCTAGGGACCCAGGAGCTGGTGCCGGGGCTGCAGTGCCAGGAGAATGGGCAGGAACTGTCTCCCACTGCCCCGGAGCCAGGCCCTGAGCCCCACCGGGCTAAGCAGGAGGCCCGGAACCAGAAGCGGGCCCAGGGCCGTGGTGAGGTAGGCTCAGGGGCTGGCCCCGGGGCCCAGGCAGGGCCCAGCGCCAAGAGGGCTGTGCATCTCTGCAGAGGGCCAGAGGGGGAGGGGTCCAGGGATGACCCTGGACCCCGGGGTGATGCCCCACCCTTCGTGGCTGACCCGGCCACTCAGGTGAGAGTTGGGCACCTGTATGGGTGTTAGGAAATGGGGGGAAAGAGTGTGCACTGGAGTGGGAGCCACCTGGCAGAGCCCGGGCTGATTCTGCCCACAATCTTGCCATTGATAGGTTGAGGCTGATGAACAGCTTTGCATACCACCGGTGAACCCCCAAACCTGCCTCCTGGGCTCAGAGGAGAATTTAGCCCTTTTGGCAGGAGAGAAAGCAGTGTCTCCTGGGAATGACCCAGTCTCTCCAGCCATGGTCCGGAGCAGAAACTCTGGGAAAGATGACCGTGCCAAGGAGGAGATGGCAGTGGCAGCAGATGCTGCAACCTTGGTGGATGGTAAAGGTGGGGGTGGGCAGGCCTAGGTTGGGTTGCAAAGCTTGTAGGTGGTTAGGGAGTAGAGTAGCAATAGGCTGGAACCTGTCCTGGTTGGAGCTGAGCCATGGTCTCAATATAGAGCCCGAGTCGATGGTGAACCTGGCATTTGTCAAGAATGACTCGTATGAGAAGGGCCCGGATTCAGTGGTGGTGCACGTGTACGTGAAGGAGATCTGCAGGGACACCTCGAGAGTACTTTTTCGTGAGCAGGACTTCACACTCATCTTCCAGACCAGGTGGGTGGGCAGATGATGGGGCAAACAATGCCTCAGGTGGGACAGTATGTCTCATGCTCCTCCTCTTGTCCTTCCTCCTATCCTGCTGTGCCTCTGCAGGGATGGAAACTTCCTGAGGCTGCACCCAGGCTGTGGGCCCCACACCATCTTCCGTTGGCAGGTGAAGCTCAGGTGGGTGGTGCCCGGCCCCACCACTGTGCCTGTCCTACTCCCCCAGGCTCCATCTCCCTAGCTTATCTATCCTGATGCCCATTCCTCCTAAGTCCCTGAGTTCAGCCTTTTCCCACAGGAATCTGATTGAGCCAGAGCAGTGCACCTTCTGTTTCACGGCTTCTCGCATCGACATCTGCCTTCGTAAGAGGCAGAGTCAGCGCTGGGGGGGCCTGGAGGCCCCGGCTACACGAGGTCTGCACACGAGCTCCCTTCATTGCCCAGTTCCACGTGATCAGGACCCAAACCCCTGTCACGTGCTGCTAACCACCAGCCCTCTCATTCCCCCTTTTTAAGGTGCAGTGGGTGGTGCAAAGGTTGCCGTGCCGACAGGTCCAACCCCTCTGGATTCAACCCCACCAGGAGGTGCTCCCCACCCCCTGACAGGCCAGGAGGAGGCCCGGGCTATGGAGAAGGATAAATCCAAGGCACGATCTGAGGACACAGGGCTAGAGAGTGTGGCAACCCGCACACCTATGGAGCATGTAACCCCAAAGCCAGAGACACACCTGGCGTCGGTGAGAATTCTGGGATGGGAAGGACGAAGAATGGAGGTTGGAGAGTCTTGGAGCTGTTCTCTCATGTCCTCTTTGCTCCCCCAGCCCAAGCCTACATGTATGGTGCCTCCCATGCCCCACAGCCCAGTTAGTGGAGATAGCGTGGAGGAGGAGGAAGAGGAAGAGAAGAAAGTGTGTCTGCCAGGCTTCACTGGCCTTGTCAATTTAGGCAACACCTGCTTCATGAACAGCGTCATTCAGTCTCTGTCCAACACTCGGGAACTCCGGGACTTCTTCCATGGTGAGGGCAGGGCCTGGAGCCTGGGGAATGGGCAGAGAGGGTGCCTTTGTCCCTCACACCTTTGCTCCGCTACTATTCCTAGACCGCTCCTTTGAGGCTGAGATCAACTACAACAACCCACTAGGGACTGGTGGGCGTCTGGCCATTGGCTTTGCTGTGCTGCTTCGGGCGCTGTGGAAGGGCACCCACCATGCCTTCCAGCCTTCCAAGTTGAAGGTAATCTGTGACCACTGTCACCCTTGGCTGCAGGGGGCGGGGAGGGCCAGCTAACCGGTGTGCAGTGGGTGCTAGGGCTTTGTGTTCACACTTTGGCTCCTGTATCCAGGCCATTGTGGCGAGTAAGGCCAGCCAGTTCACAGGCTATGCGCAGCATGATGCCCAGGAGTTCATGGCTTTCCTGCTGGATGGGCTGCACGAGGACCTGAATCGCATTCAGAACAAGCCCTACACAGAGACCGTGGACTCAGATGGGCGGCCCGATGAGGTCAGGGTTAGGGACAGAGGGTGGGCATGTCTCATGAGCATCCCAGCCCCCAGGCCTCTTTGGTTCTCACCACTCTGCCTCTCAGGTGGTAGCCGAGGAAGCATGGCAGCGGCACAAGATGAGGAATGACTCTTTCATCGTGGACCTATTTCAGGGGCAGTACAAGTCGAAGCTGGTGTGCCCTGTGTGTGCCAAGGTGTGATGGGCTCCCCTGGAAAGAGGCCCTCTATTCTGATCATGTTAGGTTCAGAGGCATGTGCATCTTAAGGTTTGGGCGAAGAAGTTGGCAGGGAGGCCTTAGGATTCTATATGGGCTGAAGAGCCCACTTAGGTAGGCTTCCTGACTGAGGGAAAAGTGATGTTAGAGCTCAGAGGTGTTGTGGCAGGGTTGTGGGCACATGGGGTGCAAGTGTGAGGCAAATTCGTAAAGTGGCTAAGCTGAGTAGGGCTTTGAGTGCCAGAAAGGAGGATTGTTATCTCCTGGTGGTCCTCCTGCCCCATCTAGTGTCCTGAAGCCTGAGAGTTTGCTGGTTGGCTGTGGAGGCCTTGAGAGCCATCAGAAGCCCTGGAATGGGCTCTTTGGGCATGAACATTTTGTCTCCCACTCTGTGTGCAGCTACCCAGTGCCACCTCTACATCCACAGGTCTCCATCACTTTTGACCCGTTTCTTTATCTGCCGGTGCCCTTGCCACAAAAGCAAAAGGTTCTCCCTGTCTTTTATTTCGCCCGAGAGCCCCACAGCAAGCCCATTAAGGTGAGGAGTAAGCCCCTACCCTCTGGGCTGTTCTAGAGAACGTGGCCCACCTCCCTCACTGACTGCCCTTTTTGCCACAGTTCCTAGTGAGCGTCAGCAAGGAGAACTCCACTGCCAGTGAAGTATTGGACTCCCTCTCTCAAAGCGTTCGTGTGAAGCCTGAGAATCTGCGTTTGGCGGAGGTACCTTTGTCTTTCTTTGGGCTATTATATATATGGATATGTGTGTGTACTCACCATAGACACGTGTGTATAGTCATTGGCATCTACAGACATACACATGGGCTGGGCACAGTGGCTCACGCCTGTAATCCCAGCACTTTGTGAGGCTGAGGTGGGCAGATCACTTGAGCCCAGGAGTTTGGGACCAGCCTGGGCAACTTGGTGGAACACTGTCTCTACAAGAAATTAAAAAAGCAGCTGGGCGTGGTGGTACATGCTTATAGTGCCAGCTACTTGGGAGGCTGAGGCAAGAGGCTCACTTGAGCCCGGGAGGTGGAGGTTGCAGTGAGCAGAGATTGCACCACAGCACTCCAGCCTGGGTGACAGAGTGAGACTCTGTCTCAAAAATAAATAAATAGATAAAAAATAAAAATAGGGCTGGGCATGGTGGCTCATGCCTGTAATCCCAGCCCTTTGGGAGGACAAGGTGGGTGGATCACGAGGTCAGGAGATCCAGACCATCCTGGCTAACATGGTGAAACCCCACCTTTACTAAAAATACAAAAAAAAAAAAAATTAGCTGGGCATGTTGGCACATGTCTGTAGTCCCAGCTACTCAGGAGGCTGAGGCAGGAGAATCGCTTGAACCTGGGAGGCAGAGGTTGTAGTGAGCCGAGATCGCGCCACTGCACTCCAGCCTGGGCGACAGAGCAAGACTCAAAAATAAAAATAAAATAAAAATAGACATACAAATGAGTATGCCTGTGACTGTACAAAAACAGGTGATGTGCTGTTATTTTGTCTGTGCAACAGAAGTGCCTTCAGTTTCTAGCCATTATCAGGGTTTATTCCCCTTTGTGGTGGTGGATCCCAACTGCATTTCCCTTTTTAGACAAGGAGCTTGAACTGCAGGACTATACCTATGTTCGCTCTGCTTCTCCCTCTATCCTGCTGCTCTCTCCTTTTATCCCAGTTGTGTGTGCTAGCTCTCCCCAGGGGTTCCTAGCCTTTAGCCTGACAGTGTCGATTTTCTCAGGGGTAAGAGTTGGGAGGAGGCTCTTTGAATATGGACCCTCCGTGATAGTATGTTACAGTCTTATAAGGCTATTCTAGTTATAGCAGGGCAGAGTCCCTCAGTGTGGAGAGCTGGTGTGGTTGATATCTGCCTCATACCCGGTCTTTCAGGCCCTCTGATGCATCAGGCTCCGTATGGCATTGGACACTGAGATGGGTGCCAGTAGAGGCTAAGCCTCTTTGGGCCTACAGACCTCACCACTGCCCACATAGACCCACGGACGGGCCAAGCCTTCTTAAACTCTGGGGCAGGGCTAGGGAAAGGGCTTATCCTCATGTGGGATCTGTGTGTTCTGTGTCCTCAGGTAATTAAGAATCGTTTCCATCGTGTGTTCCTGCCCTCCCACTCACTGGACACTGTGTCCCCATCTGATATGCTCCTCTGCTTTGAGCTGTTATCCCCAGAGTTGGCTAAGGAGCGGGTAGTGGTGCTAGAGGTGCAACAGGTGAGTGGGGGCCAACCTGATGGCATAGGGCCCCGGTGGGTGGGGTACTCCTGCCTGGTCTTGCTGAGCCAGACGACCCACCCTAGCGCCCCCAGGTGCCCAGCGTCCCCATCTCCAAGTGTGCAGCCTGCCAGCGGAAGCAACAGTCGGAGGATGAAAAGCTGAAGCGCTGTACCCGGTGCTACCGTGTGGGCTACTGCAACCAGTGAGGACCCCCATCGTCTCCCCGACCCTTTATTTCCACCTTCCATGTGCCACCCTGCCCCTTCCCTTCACACCAAGGCACATGTGCTTAAGCTTTCTACTTGCCTACTTCACCAGGTTCTGGGGGAGGCAGGGCTGGCATACCCAGTTCCCAGGGACTATGACTAGCCCCCATTATGGAGTTATAGGAGATGGGGCTAAAGGCCTTATCCTTGTCTTCCTCTTCCCCTCAGGCTCTGCCAGAAAACCCACTGGCCTGACCACAAGGGCCTCTGCCGACCTGAGAACATTGGCTACCCCTTCCTGGTCAGTGTACCTGCCTCACGCCTCACTTATGCCCGCCTTGCTCAGCTGCTAGAGGGCTATGCCCGGTAAGTGCCTAGTGGTTGGACTAGAGTGGTGTAGGTGGGAGCAGATGTGCTAGATGGGCTGGTCAGGAGTCCTACTTGCCTTGCTCTCTGTTGCCAGGTACTCTGTGAGTGTGTTCCAGCCACCCTTTCAGCCTGGCCGCATGGCCTTGGAGTCTCAGAGCCCTGGCTGCACCACACTGCTCTCCACTGGCTCCCTGGAGGCTGGGGACAGTGAGAGGGACCCCATTCAGCCACCTGAGCTCCAGCTGGTGACCCCTATGGCTGAGGGGGACACAGGGCTTCCCCGGGTGTGGGCAGCCCCTGACCGGGGTCCTGTGCCCAGCACCAGTGGAATTTCTTCTGAGATACTGGCCAGTGGGCCCACTGAGGTTGGCTCCTTGCCTGCTGGCGAGAGGGTGTCCCGACCCGAAGGTAAGATCCAGTGAAAAGCTCTGGGAGCTGGGGAGGAAGGTAGGGGAGGATGGGGGGGCTGTTGTTTAGGACCTCGTGGGCCTGGTGAGGCCCTGATGGGCAGGGAAGCTTTGATTATCATGTTCTCACACAGCCGCTGTGCCTGGGTACCAGCACCCAAGTGAAGCTATGAATGCCCACACACCACAGTTCTTCATCTATAAAATTGACTCATCCAACCGAGAGCAGCGGCTAGAGGACAAAGGTGTCTGAGGCCGTGGGTGAGAGCCATGGGGTGGGTTGAGCTGGCTGTTCTCCACAGCTGCATGACCTCTCTCCCTGCCAATCTCCAGGAGACACCCCACTGGAGCTGGGTGACGATTGTAGCCTGGCTCTCGTCTGGAGGAACAATGAGCGTTTGCAGGAGTTTGTGTTGGTAGCCTCCAAGGAGCTGGAATGTGCTGAGGATCCAGGCTCTGCCGGTGAGGCTGCCCGGGCCGGCCACTTCACCCTGGACCAGTGCCTCAACCTCTTCACACGGCCTGAGGTGCTGGCACCCGAGGAGGCCTGGTGAGAACAGAGCAGCAAGCAGATAAGGGGGCAGGACGGAGAAGAGAGAGACTTGCTGGTCCTGACCCAACCTCTGTTCCCACCAGGTACTGCCCACAGTGCAAACAGCACCGTGAGGCCTCCAAGCAGCTGTTGCTATGGCGCCTGCCAAATGTTCTCATCGTGCAGCTCAAGCGCTTCTCCTTTCGTAGTTTTATCTGGCGTGACAAGATCAATGACTTGGTGGAGTTCCCTGTTCGGTAAGCAATGGACCTTGGTAACTGTGGGTGGGGTGTGAGGACCAAGGTGGGCATCCTGAGCACCTGCTGCCTGTCTCACCCCTCCCTGACTGGACCTGACCTGCAGGAACCTGGACCTGAGCAAGTTCTGCATTGGTCAGAAAGAGGAGCAGCTGCCCAGCTATGATCTGTATGCTGTCATCAACCACTATGGAGGCATGATTGGTGGCCACTACACTGCCTGTGCACGCCTGCCCAATGATCGTAGCAGTCAGCGCAGTGACGTGGGTGAGGGCACACACAGCCAGCAGGATAGATGGTAGGGGTGGTGGTGCAGACTTCGTTCACACTCTTCCCACCCTGCCGTAGGCTGGCGCTTGTTTGATGACAGCACGGTGACAACGGTAGACGAGAGCCAGGTTGTGACGCGTTATGCCTATGTACTCTTCTACCGCCGGCGGAACTCTCCTGTGGAGAGGCCCCCCAGGGCAGGTCACTCTGAGCACCACCCAGACCTAGGCCCTGCAGCTGAGGCTGCTGCCAGCCAGGTGAGGCATGTGGGCGGCTTTACAGAATAGTGGGGGACAGCTCACAGACTGCGGGGCAGGGTTGGGGATATAGCTTCCTCTCCTCCAGCCACAGGCTCCCTGAGCCTTGGGATTCATGAGAATTGCAGAGTTCCCTTAACATCAAAGCTTTATCCAGAGGCATCCCCATGCCCTGGGGACACTAACATACAGGTACACTAACATGATGCCACTGGCAAGCACATTGGCACCCAGTTGGCACAGGTCAGGCAACTGCTCTGAACCTCACTGGGCACTGTGCTATGAATGGACTATAACTGATACTCTCTAGATTTCCTCTGCACATTCCCCACATGCTAGCCCACACACCCTCACTTGTGATGTCCCTGAGTTCTATTGTGCACTCAAGACAAGGCCTATTTGGGCTGGCCATGGCTTCTGGTGGCTGTTATACTCTCTGAGGTAAGCATCTGTCTTTGCTGAGCCTTCAGGATCTTCTCTCTCTTTTAGTGACATTATGTGCCATAGGCCCAGTTGGTGGGCGTAGGCACATCTCTTTTCTGGACTGGCCGCCTCCTTTCTGGCTCCATCCTCTCTTAAGCCTTCTCTGTCAAGGATTAGAGAAGTCCCTGCAGAAGACTGGTCAGGATCTGGGGTGTGGGTGGGAAGGAACAAGGAGATTGCTCTGGGATTGGCGCCCTGTTTCCTATAAATCAGTGTCCTCTGGAGAGGCCTGGACTGAAATACTAACCAGATAACTCCCCTCCCACCTCCATGCGGAGCTGCACGTGGATTGAAAGCTGTTTAGGGTAGGCCAAAATGCTGTCAAGATTTACTTACACTTGTGCTCTTAGTCTGGACAACCCTGAGGTTGGCTGCCTGCCTTCCTCCTTGCTGCTTGATCTAGAATGCAGAGTGTTAGCCCCAGTCACCCCAGGTGGGACTATCATGGCTAAGGGTCTCAGGGACACTGGGTCCTCCCCATCCCTGGGGTGCTGATGGCCGTTTCCACATACCCTAGGCTTCCCGGATTTGGCAGGAGCTGGAGGCTGAGGAGGAGCCGGTGCCTGAGGGGCCTGGGCCCCTGGGTCCCTGGGGGCCCCAAGACTGGGTGGGCCCCCCGCCACGTGGCCCTACCACACCAGATGAGGGCTGCCTCCGGTACTTTGTCCTGGGCACCGTGGCGGCTTTGGTGGCCCTCGTGCTCAACGTGTTCTATCCTCTGGTATCCCAGAGTCGCTGGAGATGAGCTCGCCTGCAGGCAGCTGCTGTGAGCTGGCCTACCTGCCTGCCCCAGGCCATGCCTGCCTTTGTTGTGGGGAACACCTCTGGGCTTTGGGCCTCAGCTTGTGCATCTGGTGGGAGAGGATGGGGAGGCTGTGGCCCCTGCACGGGCAGAGCATCGTAGGGTGTGTATCCATCCAGCTGTTTGTCCATTCATCCTGCTGCTCTGACCCTTGGCCTCGGGCTTGGCCTTGCCCAAGCTACTTCCTGTACTTAAAGTGTTAATAAAGCCAGACTATTCAGGCCCAATCTTGTCTCTCTGTCTGAACGCCGCTGCTGTCTGCGCCTGCCTTGGGACCCTCCCTTGGGTGCCAGGGCTCCAAGCCAGCACCCCCGGGATGCCAGGCGGCATGCTGGGCAGCCCCCAACCCCTGTCCTCGTATTCTGTTGCAGGGACTAGGCCCTGGCCAGGCCCCCGAGGTGGCCCCCACGCGGACAGCCCCTGAACGCTTCGCCCCCCCTGTGGATCGGCCAGCCCCCACCTACAGCAACATGGAGGAGGTGGATTAGCAGGTCCCTGGCTGATGGGGGGGACTGGGTTTGGGACACCCACCACAGAGGGCCAGCTCCTTGCCGCTTCTCCTTCTCTAACCCAGAGGACACTGGCTCTGTCAACGGGAAGCTGTGGGGTATGATTTGGGTGTGGCGACCTCTCAGGTTGGGACTTCTTGTTAGCTTGGACCCCTGACCAGTGGGCTTTGGCTTCTCTAGCCACCTCCAGTGCTGTGTGATTTGATTCTGTTGTACCTTCAATTCTTTCTGACCCGCATTATAAACATTATAATTTTATTCTAAAAATTGTAATTTTTTTTGCATTTTGGAAGTGATTGCTGCTGTTTAAATATATTTTAAAAATAAATAATAAATAAGTAGACTTAGTGACTGTGATCCACCACGTGCTGGGGCCACCTCCCCTCCCCATCATTTGGAGAGAGTGTGTGTGTGTGTGTGTGTGTGTGTGTGTGTGTGTTTATATATGAGAAACCCTGAAGGTGCTCTAGTCTGAAGGGAGATGATGGGGTCCCAGCTCATGTCATGAAGCCCCCAGTGCTATCAGCTCTTTGGAGTCTACCTGCTGTTCTTTGATCCCACATAAGAGGCAGCTGTGGTAAGCATTGTCAGGATCTCAATATGGCCAAGGGACAGAGTAGTATATGAAACACTGGAGCTGACAGTATGGAGTAAAAGGTGCATTAACCACAGCAGCCTGGGGCTGAAAGCCAGACAAGTCAGGGAGGACTTGGGGGACAGAAGTACTGGGAGATCTTCCTCCTCCTCTCCTGTTCTCAGCTTTTTCTTTGCTGTAACTTGAATACCATCTGCATCCCTGCGGGTAACAGAGCAGGAGGAAAACTGCTGTGGGGTAGATATTGCTGCCCTGAAAAGAGGACAAGCAGAGAGGACCAGAGTGAACCTTGTCTGACTTCTATTGGAGGCAGGGTGCTGGGGCCTGCCAGCCTTAAGAGTCTTCCCTTAAGAGTCCCTGAAGCCTTCCTTCTTTGGCCAGGCGTGGTGGCTCACGCTTGTAATCCCAGCACTTTGAGAGGCCGAGGCGGGTGAGTCATGAGGTCAGGAGTTCGAGACCAGCCTGGCCAAGATGGTGAAACCCCGTCTTTACTAAATATATGAATATTAGTCTGGTACAGTAATTCCAGCTACTCTGGAGGCTGAGGCAGGAGAATCATTTGAACTTGGGAGGTGGAGGTTGCAGTAAGCTGAGATTGCGCCACTGCACTCTAGCCTGGGCGACAGAACAAGACTCCATCTCAAAAGAAAAAAAAGTTTCTGAAACTGGTCAAGTGTGGTGACTTACGCCTGTAATTCTAGCACTTTAGGGTGAGGTGGGAGGATAGCTTGAGCCTAGGAGTTCAGAACCAGCCTGGGCAACATGGTGAAACCATCTACTAAAAATATAAAAATTAGCTGGGTGTTATTGGTATGTACCTGTAGTCCCAAATATTTCAGAGGCTGAGATGGGAGGATTGTTTGAGCCCAGGAGGTTGCTGGACCCTACCTCTGTCCATTCCACGACTGGGCCTTGCTGGCTGCTGCCTGGTTTTTTCCACTTGGTCATCTTTCTCTTGACTTTCCTGGAAGGAGTGCCAGGGGCTCATGCAGGTAGGCTAACCTCCAGACTGGGCCCATATAATTTAACATTTCTGCTCTGTGCAAGTCATAGACATCTAGGGGACTAGCTGGACATCCACTGGTACTACCACTTGTGGCATTCTTGGTGGCACTGGTGGGGCTACTGCCTCATCCTATGACTTGTAGCCATGGGGTCCACAGTGTATCATGAAGTAACCAGGGAAGGGAGTGCAGATCTTGATCTCATTGAGGGGGCCATCACCAGACCTGTAGGACTTGGTGATGGTGCTACAGTTAATCTTTTGGCAGCATCAGCTACTGAGAAAATGGTGGCAGTGGCAGGCACTCTGCATGGGTTTGCTCATCACCTTTATGGTGGGCTGGGCACTTGCAGCTTCAAATTTGGTGAAAGGCTGGTGTGGCTATGGCTCTGCTTCTTGGTACCTGTCCTTAGCACCACTGATCTGCATCCCTGCTTAACTCCTGCACCTGGCCTTTCTCATGCAGTGCACTGCAGGGCTAGGCATCTGGCTGGGGCCACCGGGACATGGAGATGTGGGAAGCCCCAAGACAGCATTGCACCTGGATAGTGTTACAGCATGTGGCCCTGGTCAGCACCTGCTATGTGATCATTACGTGGTGTCCAGATGTAGGCCCAGACTTGGAGCTTGGTCATTAATGGGATGTCGGCACAAAAGACACAGAATATAGATACAGACTAGTCAGGATCCTGCCTATTCCTTGAAGGTCCATAAGTATGAGCATCACCAATTCCTGCAAGAGCTCTAATCTCAAATTTGGGGATTTCCACCATCCCACCACCAGCTGCTCATTCTCTGCAACCCCCTACCTCAGTCCCTTTTCACACACACAAAGTCTCTGTTCTGTTTTAGCCAGCAGATCCTGAAAGTCCAGTGAGACTATGGGGAGATTCCCAAGCACAACAGCTATAATCATGAAGATTCCATCTCGTTTGTCCTACCCTCTCCCAACTTCAATAAAATATCCTCTCTCAAAGGCTTGCAGAGGGATTTCAAGGTCTAATTTGCTTGTGGTTTCCCTGATAATGCTTTGGCAAGAGGCAAGAGGGTAAGTGTGGGATGATAATTTTTTTTTCTGTTATTCTTTTTTTTTTTTTTTTGAGACAGGGTCTTACTCTGTCCACCAGGCTGGAGTGCAGTGGTACAATCTCAGCTCACTGCAACCTCCTCCTCCCAGGTTCAAGCGATTCTTCAGCCTCTCCCTCCTGAGTAGCTGGGATTACAGGCGTGCACCACTATGTCCAGCTAATTTTGTATTTTTAGTAGAGACAGGGTTTCACCATGTTGGCCAGGCTGATCTGGAACTCCTGGCCTCAAGTGATCTGCCCACCTCGGCCTCCCAAAGTGCTGGGATTACAGGCCTGAGCCACTGCGCCAGGCCAAGATTTTAAACCAAATCATCATAGAACTTATGTGAGGTCCCTCCTGGCCCAGACCCATCCCTTCCCTTTCCTGGCCAGCTGTGTCCAAGTGGGCACGTGAAAACCGGCGGACTTATGGGGTCCCTGGATCGGTCATTCCACACATTCTCTGCGATGAAGTGTGGATCAGGGATTTCCCGGGCTTCATTTTGCTCAACTGTTTCCATGACAACCCCAAAGTTGTGGCGTCAAAAGCGCGACAGGGACTCGCATTTGCTCCCGAGGACAATTACTATATTGAGATGGAGTTCCCAGGGCTGAAGTAGAAAAGTCAGAGCAAAACCACGTCTGTGTCTTCCTCCTGCCTCGGGGCCGAGCACCTTCCTCCCAGGTACGTGGCAAATATCTCCAAAAGCCCTGCCGCCCGCCAACACCCCTTCAAGTGCCCAGTTCCACGGAGGCGGAAGCGAAGCCCCCGGAAAGGCCGGTTGGTTCGCCCTGTGTTCTTTAAATGGGTTAGACGACCTTGGAGCGCCCCGCCCCCTACCGCCAAGGAAGGACACCATTGGCTCTTCCCGGAGGCTTCGCTCTCATTGGTCAGCGAGTGAATGCCGACCTGCAGACGCGGTCCTAAGTTTCTTTTGGTTTCCGGTGTCTCTGCGATGGCGGCTCTGGACTCCCTGTCGCTCTTCACTGGCCTCGGCCTGAGCGAGCAGAAGGCCCGCGAGACGCTCAAGAACACGGCTCTGAGCGCGCAGCTGCGCGAGGCCGCTACTCAGGTGCGAGCCCCTCTGCCTCCGACCTGGTTTGCGTACCAGGCTGCAACGCAGCGCGGGGCGGGGTCCAGATTCCGACCTGCCCCACTTGTCCCGCTCTTTCCTCTCACTGAGCGCGGGGCTTCTCTCTTGACCCCTCTGACCCTAGGCTCAGCAGACCCTGGGTTCCACCATTGACAAGGCTACCGGGACCCTGTTATATGGCTTGGCCTCCCGACTCAGGGATACTCGGCGTCTCTCCTTCCTTGTAAGCTACATAGCCAGTAAGAAGATCCACACTGAGCCCCAGCTAAGCGGTGAGACCCCTACCTGTCCTGCCAGTTCGCACCAATGCCTCCCTTCAGCCAAGACCCCTGTCTTCCCTTTTTGCCAAGTCTTCCAGTTTCTTTCTAGACACCTGGTTCTGCACAGGCACTGAGGCATGGAGGGGGTGGCCTATGGTGAGACTGACAAGGGAACTGTCAGGGTCTGAGGGGGATCCACTCTCGACACGTGCTTCTTTCTTCCCTGTGTCCTCTAGGGTAGTGGTGCCAGGGCTTAACTTTTCAGGAGGCCAGACTGTCCTTCGAGTTTCATGAGATTACGACCCTGTCTGTCCACTTCTTGGAGCAGAGATGCCACAAACTCACGGGCTCTTTTTTCTCAGCTGCCCTTGAGTATGTGCGGAGTCACCCCTTGGACCCCATCGACACTGTGGACTTTGAGCAGGAATGTGGCGTGGGTGTCATTGTGACCCCAGAGCAGATTGAGGAGGCTGTGAGTCTTTCCCCAGGCATCGTCTTCCTCCCCAGTCCTGGCCATGGAAAGGAGTGGCTCAGTTTCCCTCCCCAGGAAGACCCAGAGTGAGGGTGTGGGTTCCCAGAATATCTCTAAAGGTGGCTTTCCTGAACCACATGGTTTGGCTTTCTGCAGGTGGAGGCTGCCATTAACAGGCACCAGCCCCAGCTCCTGGTGGAACGTTACCATTTCAACATGGGGCTGCTGATGGGTGAGCAGGGCCTGGAAGGGGGCTATATTGTTCTCTCTGGTCATGCCTTTTCTTCTGGGCACAAGTGAGAGGGAGGTGGGGGAAGGAACAGGAGTGACTTAAAGTGGTCTGGCTGGGCTCAGGCTCTGGTTCTCGCGGTCAGCCAGGACCTTTCCTTGGAAAGGAGGTGGGGGGAGTACTCTTTGCTTTTCTGCAGCTCCTTGTGCCTATGCTTCTAGGAGAGGCTCGGGCTGTGCTCAAATGGGCAGATGGCAAAATGATCAAGAATGAAGTGGACATGCAGGTGGGCATGCTTCATTAAGCTGAAGCTGGCAAAGACTGGCATGAACAGGGCCTGGAATCCACTAAGGGATAAAAGGCAGGAGGAGGGCTGGGCACGGTGGCTTACGCTTACGATCCCGGGACTTTGGGAGGCCAAGGCAGGAGGATTACTTGAGCCCAGGAGTTCAAGACCAGCCTGAGCAACATAGTGAGAACCCATCTCTACAGAAAATTTAAAAATTAGCCAGACATGGTGGTGTATACCTGTAGTCCCAGCAACTTGTGGGGCTGAAGTGGAAGAATTCCTTGAACCTAAGAGGTCAAGGCTGCATTAAGCTCTGATTGCACCACTGCACTCC